TACCAGGTTCAATTAACACGGGTGTACGTGCCTGAGAGGAGCTCTCCTGACCACCCTAAGGCAGTCAGTGCATCTACACGAGATGCTTAGTGCGCATTAGCCTAATAACACTGCACAGGCGCATGGCGGTTAAAAACCATGCTAATAGCCGACTGCGCAGGTATGAGGCTAATGTACAGTAAGTGTCACAAAAAAACCCGTGTGCTGGCACTACTGCACAGTAACTCTATTACTGTGCATTTCATAGACATCAGGGCTGGAAGGGACCTCGGAAGATCATCGAGTCCAGCCCCCCGCCTGAAGGGCAGGAAGTCAGCTGGGGTCATAGGATCCCAGCAAAATAAGCATCCAATTTACTCCTGGATGCATCCAATTTACTCATTTATTAGTTAGTACTTTATTAATCAAGTAATAAACTAAATGTGCAGTATCTGAAGTTGCTGGGTTTTGGGTGGTAGCTGTGTTGCTCTAAGGACGTGGGCAGGCCAGGTTCTTTGGATAGATGTGTTATCTTTTATTAGACCAAGTAGCTGGAAAAAAAGTTCTTTGCAAGCTTTTGGGTGCAATTGTCCTTCTTCAGGCAGTATCTAAGGTGCATTAGTGAATGTGTAGACACTCCCACTGTCTCCCGGGTCCCAACTTCTGCAGTCTCCTGTAAAGGCGGATCTGTAAATTATAACTTCTATCGACCCCCCTGCCCCACTCCGAGGCAGCAGCATCCTGAAACCAATGTGAAGCTGGTCATAAGAGGGAAGGGTGGGGAGCGATTTCACCCGTGGGGCCTTCCTGTAGGGGGGTCCCGGGCCAGGCACTGAACCCAAGGCAGGAAATCCCAAGGCTGCCCTGGAATAACAGCGATCCTGGCGCCTCCAAGCAGCTTTGCGCCCAAAGGATCCCGACGCGCTTCCCAAGCGTGAACGATTCAGACACCATGGAGGGGGCCGGTGTCACCCGCCACTGAGCAGCTGCTGCCTCGATGCTGACACAGGAGCAGAATGCAATTAATAAAGCTGGAGGAGGGCCAGAAATCTGGGCAGGCTGGCCTGCCAAGAGCTGTCTCCACCTGGGCCAGGCCTGCGCAGGCCGTGGTGCCCCGGGGAATCGGTGCTTAAAGAGAAAAGAGGCAGTTTGCACAGGGTCCTGGACGTGGGCAGGGGTAAGTGCTGCTGGTCCCCGCTCCCCTGGGTCCTGCACCCTCGGCAGAGCCCGAGGACACGGCTCTGCGCAAAGGTGGCTGTGCTGCCTCTGGTCTGGTCTGGGGTAGGCGGCGGTGTCTCGGGTGCCGGAGATGTCACAGTGGAGGCTCCCGTAGTGTTGTTAGCTTTAGCTTTGCTCAGATAACTCATTATTCTTCAGATCTGTGTTACAGCTGTGCCCGAAAGGCCCTTTGCAATTGCAAAAGCCATGGTAACATCAGCACCTGCAGCAAGCTCCCTGCCACAAAGAGCTCACAAAGGCCTTGAATAGACTGGGAAAAGGGGTACAGTTTAAAACAAAAACCTTGTTAAGCAGGACCATTATCGCAGGGGTTGGCGAGTATCAGAGAGATTATAAAGCTTTGTTCCCTCTGCTGTATGCTGCCGTCTCAAAGGCCTGAGGAAGGGCAGCGTGATGCCCAAAAGCATCCCTGTCTCTGCACCAACCATCCACTTGGTCCCATCAAAGCTATCGCCCACAAGCATCCTCGCCCATCTCCTGCACCAGCACAGCAACAATATCACCTCAGCACCAAGTCTGACAAATCTCTCTGCATGGCTTAGCCGCAGTGGGAAGCCAGGAGCCCCCCTCTGCTAATGGAGCTGCGCCTGCCTCTCCCGAACTGACATAAGCCATGTGGAAAATGGAGTGTCACATCCTATCCCCATCACTCACTCCTTGACCTTCAAGCCTGCTGACAGGGGCCACCAGCCACGAGCCCGGGCCATGCATTACCAGGACAGGGAGCATCCATCGTTTCATAGATTGCAAGGCAGCCAGAAGAGACGGTTCTGATTATTCGATCGGCTCCAGGCCAGGGAGCGCCTGCCAGAGCTGGGACCGGTCTTGGACAGACATCCGGTTGCACTTCTGTGATGGAGTATCCACCGCGTCCGTCGGCAAGTTGTTCCAGTGGTGAATGGTCATCACTGTAAGAGTTGGGGCTTATTTCTTAGCCTGGATGTGTCCAGCTCCTTTCCAGCCACTGCATCTCATTTTGCCTTTATGCCCCTGTGGTCAGCATCTCTCCCTCTGCAGCTATGGCAGGCCGTGGCCAAATCACCTCTTAACACAGTCTTGGATAAATTAGATGGTGCTCTTCAGCTTCCGCCAGGCAGATTCTCCATGCAGAATTGTTCTTTCGGCTCTTCCCACAGCCCCTTTCTGACGTGCAGCATCCTTCTTGGGGTGGAGGTTTGTCACTGGCAGACGGTGCCCAAAATACATCTCATTTGGACAAGGTGCGCCATCCCACAACACCTTAGTTAGCAAGATATTTGTAATCTCAACTCACTGAAAAAGAATGACTCTCGGGGCTACGAGATACCGAGGTCACAGGCCAACAGTGATGTGTGCAGTCTACAGGTTTAACCAGCGTCTCCAGCACCGTGCTCATCTCTGCAGACACCAGACGTGGACGTGCCAGTCTATCTTCTCCCCTGGTCGTGCTCGAGAACGATGAGAAGATGCACGTGGCACGTTTCAGGTCTTCCTATCACGTAAGACAAACCTCCGTTGTTCAGGGATAGATCTGGGCAGCAGGTTTCCAGCTCTGTAACCAACTGCATTGCTTTCCTGTTCTTGTTACTGACAAATATGGGTGCTTGATGCTAGGAGGTGGACTTTATTTCTCAAAAGCCCAAGGAAGGGATCACAGGAGGCATCGCACAAAGAGGAGCCCCGTTTCAAGAAGACCGGCTGCCCATGCTCCTGGGCTCTGCCAGTCACCAGCATCAGTGTGCCCCACAGATTCATAGACCACGAGGGCTGAAGGGAGCTCAGGAGGTCGCATTGAGTCCAACCCCCTGCTCCAAGCAGGACCAGCCCCAAATACATCACCCCAGCCACGGCTTCACCTTAAAAACCTCCAAGGATGGAAATGCCACCACCTCTCTGGGCAGCCGGGTCCAGTGCTTCACCTCCCTCCTACTGAGAAAGTTTTTCCTATGGAAAGACATGGATCAGGACCTGCCCAGCATTAGCCAATACATGTAAACCTGGCAGTGCTCCCACGCGCACAGAGCTTCCTCGTTGTGTAGCACGATGGCACTATAGGAGCCAGCAGCCTTACAGACCTTGTGCTTTTGCTTGAAGAAATATAATGTATAGCCCTGTACGCCATAGCTGCATTGGCTCTGCAGAGCTGACTCTGGCCCAGAAAGGAAGGGGCACAACGCAGAAGGAGCAGAGCTGCTGCGTAAGAAGGGGCCACGTCTCTAAATGCAGCTCCCTGCTAAGGGGTTTCTCCACCTGGAGGGCTCTGTCCCTACATTTCATCCCCAAGCTGCAGCGCCACTGCTGCGCTAGCTTGTTTCAGAGTTACCCCAGCCCTCCCGCATGTTCTTACATGAGAGTTAGACAGCCCCGCTCAGACTTTTGCTAGGTCTGCAGTCTCCACGTGTCCCAGCTGGCCTGCGACATTCACTTTGGGAACGAGCTCTGATGAGACGTAAAACACAGCATCTGCTGGTAAATAGGAGAGCGGGAAACCAGGGACCTCCCATAACCATTATCAACACAGATTTTAAGCAAGTGACCTACTTCAGGTAGTTAGGCTCCATCACAGCGCAGCGTGCTAGTGTAAAGGAAGAAATTAAAGGAAGACGAGAAGCAAGAAATACAGCCGGCTTTGCACCACACAAACTCTTGTCATCCAAGCTCATCCCAAGGACAAAACAAAGCTTGGAGCCTGTCTAATCATAACCAGGCCACATGTACCCTATGGCAGTCAAATCTGGGCTCTCTCACAAGCAAACGAGATTGCGCGATCGTTTTGAAAGACGTTTTTACGGAAAAAACCTCTGCCGCACCATAACACGGGACCAGAGCAGAAGAGCCAATAGCGAGGTGTTTCAACCAGACAGAGACCCAACCCCAGCGCAGGAAACCACAGAAAATGTGGGTTGAAAGGCACCTGCTCCAAGCAGGATTAGCCCCAACAAGATCATCCCAGCCAAGGCTTTGTCCACCCAGGACTTCAAAACCTCCACAGGTCTTAAAAACCTCCAAATCAGAGTGCAACAAGGACGGTGGCAACCAGAGACCCAAGGAAGACCGCCCGGACAAGCAAGACGAAGATGATGCAGACTCGGACCTAAAAATGGAGGAAGGCACCCAACAGGCGGGAGCAGGTGAAGATAGCGGAGGCAGCCAAGGGCCTCTAGTGCTAAATTATCATTATTAGTCCACATGCAGCATCTGCTCGGCCCACCCAAGGGCCACGTTGGTTGCGGACCGGCACAGGCTGCCCCTCTCCCCCTCCACGGAGCAGAGCAGGCTGCGCTGCCACAGCTTCTGTTCAGCGGCTTGTGACCCTGGGCCCGTCGAGCAGCCCCGTTACGACCCACAACCTCTGGACGCCGGCTGCATCTGGCCCTGCCTGTGTCATCCTGGAGCCGACCCCCTGGCAGAGGCGCAGGCCCATCGCAAAGGGCTCCAAGCCTGTGTTTGCATAATCTCCTTTCCTTAGCAAATCCCAGCTGCTGGCACTGAGCAGCTAATGCCAATTGAATTCACGGCGACTGGAGTCATTATTACAATGAATGCAAACGTGAATTAATAACGGCACTTGGTGGGAACGTTTTCGGCGGCCCCCTGCCTCGACGGCTGGCTTCGTGCGGCTGAGGATTCACGTGTCTGCGGCCTCATTTCGCGGTAATCATAGCCTTCCGCTAACGGAGATAAACAGCGTGCGGGAGGGATTTGCCAGCGAAACTCAGCTCCAAATGTGTAGCTAAAAAATGGCTCACAAAGGGCTATTCCCAGCTTCTCCCAGGCTTGCCCAGCCCAGGCAGCGCCGGAGTGGTCTGGGCATGGTGGCAGTGGCGGCCCATTTGAGCTACGGCAGAGAGGAGCAAGCAGGCCCTCTCGCTTACGCAGCGAAGGGAAAGCGCCCGAGCCCGCCCCACGCTCCAAAGCCCAGGCAGACCCAGGAAAGGGTCACCTACCAGGACAGAAAGTCAAGCCCTCAGCTTTGCCCGTGAAGACAAGTAGTAGCCATTGATGTGTGTGTGGCTGGTCTGTGGCTCCTTGCTAGTCTCAGATGTTGAGGGACTGGAGGGGTGCTTGCAGCTGTAACCCGTGATATACCCCTCTCCTGCCCCACTCCTCCCCTGCCTTCGTCTGGCAGAACCCCCCACCCGTGCACCAGGCAGGGAGCAGCCGCCCTCGGCGACGACGCGGCTCAGTGGTGCTGGGCCCTAATAAAAATGCAGAGCAGCATTTGTTTCCTGGACCTCTGATCGGCTTACGGCGAGCTGTTGTCAAATAATTCCATAATCCCAGGTATAATAAACCTTCCCCGTCTCCTGCCCCATCACATGAGCTGAATGCCTGCGAGGCAAGTACTTTGCATGCAGATTATCTACTTGTTCTCAACCCCGATCCAAAAGCCCATTCATTTCTTGTCTTGGTGTTAGGATGTTAGGGGTGGAGGATGTCTTTGCAGGGGACAATGCCACGCTGGTTGTGAGCTGTCTGCAGAGCTCTGCGTGCGTACACACGTGCACAACACGACCCAGTCTCTGGCACGGAGACTCGCCGCCAGGCTTCAGAGCACGGTCACACCTGCTCCTGGTTCATCCTCTTGGCCTCATGGCATCCACACACTCCAACTCCGGTGCTAAGCAGTTCAAGGCATCCTAGCTGTCCCCCCTTTGCTCTTTATTAAATAGTACACTTGATTTTTGCTGCTGTTTAATCTGAGTCAGGCCCGTTTGCTATCAGAGCCCTCTCCGGTGCCACCCCCAAGGCTGCTTCTTGCCCAGCCCAGATGCCCACCTGCCTCAGAGCTGGCACAGGGGCACCCACTCACCACTTTGCACTTTCCAAACTGCAACCCAAGGTTAACCGGGGAAGGGCAGCACCCAGCAGTGCCCCAGGGGCTGGTGCATCTGCGAGCTCTCCAGCTCTGGGGCGTCAGAGGCTAGGATAACCAACATGAAGCTCGCACCACTTGAGTATGGCATGTCTGGGTTGTTCTTGCAATCCGCTGCCTAAAGCAAGGGTAATGGCTGGACTCCGCGAGGCCTGATCTCCCAACCCACCCTTGCCCCTGGCTGCTGCAGGAACGCTCTGGGAAGACCAGTTTGAATGTGGGAGAGGACTCAGCTGTGCTGAGCAGCTCTACCAGCTGCAACCATTCAGAAACCATAAGGCAGACCCAAAAATTGAGACCAGCTTTTAAAAAAAAAAAAAACACACACACCAAAAAAACCCACAGTATTTTAAAAAAAAATAAAATGTTATAATCTTTTGTCTTTGCCTTCTTGCATCTGGGCCTTGAAAAGACTGGCAATGCATTCAGTCTCTTCTACATGACCAGGAGTGCCCAATATTTATTATACTTCAGACAATAGCTGAGTGTCCCTTAGTCACATGACTCCAGGCGCTGGGACTTTGGGAAATGCACCAACTATGGCAAGATGTATAATAAAATCTGTGGGGATTAGTAACATCATTTTGTTGCATCCTTTTCACATTAACTACCTGCCTGTATTCTTGGCACCGAGTTTACTGCCAAAAGCAGCCGATTCTAAGAAATAAATTGAGTATATTGGAAGGCAGCAGATTTATTCAGTCATTGACAGCGGAAACTTGGTGCTAGGGGTAGCAGTCACCCCATCACGGCACAGAGAGGTAGCACGTGATGTTGGTGACCGATCGCCCAGTTCAAATCAGGAATTTGGAAGACTTGGACCACGAATAAGCCAGCAGCCTGGCTGCGTTCATGGATTGAGGTAGTGAACCCAAGACCCTGGAGCAGGTGTCGGCCGCCCACAGCCCACAGGCCGGATCCAGCGGCACCAGGGCATCTCACGAAACCTGGATGTCTGCAGCAATTTGGCAGCAGGGAGGATCCAGGTTGCACTGCAGTGGGCTGCAGGTACGTGCCAGCAATTTGGCAAGCAGGCTGCCTGGGTCTGAGCTGCATTCGTTTGGCCCGCTGCTCCTCCGAGGCTGCCGAGCCCTGGCCCGTAGCCGCAGGTCCTGCTTGCTGGGTCTCCTCTCACCAACCAGCTAAGTATTTTCTTCCCCTGGGGTGGGTGCAAGCATGCCACGCAACAGCAGTATAGCAGGGCACGGCCTCCGCTGTGCCTATGCATTGAGGTGGAAGCTGGGCTGTGTGCGGCCTGTCGGAAGAGGCAGGGCTCCTTTCCGCCCGGATTAGTCGCGTCCGTGAGCAATCAGGCAGCCACGTGCATGCGCCTGATGGAAGAACAGTCCGCAGCGCCGAAGGACTAGAAACGCTCCCTGCAACTGTCTCGTGTGACAGGCCCTGGACCGCCCCGCGCCTCCTGCACACACCAGGCTTTGCCAGGGCTCGGGCTGGAGTTTCACTCCCTGCCGAGCTGGGAGACTTACGTCTTGCACTTGCAGATGCTCTCCCCAGATTCGGGTCGTTTGCACGCACCGTCTCAGACCGTGCACAGATCCTTAGAGGTGAAGACCAGAAAGGACCTCCTGGATATCACAGGCCATTGACTTCCACCTATCCACCCTGGTTTGGAACGGCTGTTTTGTTAAGGCGCGCTTTCCCGAAAGGCAGCCGGGCCTGATCTAAGAGACGTCAAAAGCTGGTGAAGCCACCACCTCCCTCAGCAGTCAGTATTAATCTCAGGGACGCCACGTGCCATTGTCCTGTCACCATCAATAGCAGCTTGATGTTCAGGCCCATGGCACGTGTTGCAACTGGTCAGAAATTTCCTGATGGGACCTTTGTCCATGGGAAAATGCCAAACCCCCAGACTTTAGCTTTGTTTGGCTACCAGTGGTTGGCAAAACTATAAGACAATATGCTCCCCCCACAAAAGAGCTGCTGGAAATTGCGGTGCATGCTGTGTGCAGGAAATAGGGTAAAAAACCCTTCTGCCCAGCTTCACGTCAGTGCAGGGGGCTCAGAGCTGGGCTTTGGGGTGCGGACCAGGTCCCCGATTAGGTCACGGACAAAAAATAACAACAAAATAATGCCAGGGAATGACTTCCTCCACACTATAATCAAACAGAGAGTTCTGCAGTAAATCACCTCAATTACAGGAAAATCAGTAATTAATTATGAGCCCGGCGTTTCCCTGTCCCTCGGCGCTGCTCTGAAATTAAGAGCCTGCCGAAGTAATAAATCCCAAGCTGGCAGGTCAGTGCCGGGGCCGTCTCAGGACTACCCCGACTCCAGGCCTCACCTCAGGAAGATGCCAGATGACTTGCTTCCCCTGCATATCTTTCCGTCTTGCCCCTGCCACACCTTAGCCACCTCCACCGGCCGCACCAGAGTCTTCAGAGGAAGCAGGAGAGGGCACGAGCCCCAGCATCCAGACACGCTGCCCCTATCCCATTGCACCGGCGAAGCAGACTCGCTCGCCTCTCCTCTCCACAATTTGTGCCCGAAATGCATCTGCCTTTGATTTCAAACCCTCCCATCCTACAGATTTCAGTGGCAGACATCAGTGGAGGCCAATTTCCATGGCAGGCCATCAATCCACAGCTGCTCATTACTCCAGCGAGCTAATAAATAACAAATACATTAAAGCAAGGGGAAACAATCAAACAAGTTAGCCAAGGAAATGAAATAGTTGCAGGCCCCGACAATCTGGAGCAAGGACTGGAGGCTGGGGCATGTTCCCCACGGCACCCCACGGCAGCTCTAGGAGGCCCGTCAGGCCCTGAACACGTTTTAATACCAAAAACGCAGGGCAGAGAAAGAGAAGGAGATCAAAAGCACGAAACAGCTTTAAAAAGCACTGCTCATTTTCTGCCCTCCAGCCCACTTGGTCCGTCTAACTAGGCAATTAATGGGATCACCCCAGGCAGCAGCAAATTCAGAATATTTTATGCACCCAGCAAAAAGTGACCATCCCACGTCCTGCTGTTTCGGCTGGAGTCTCAGCAAACCCTTCTAGGCCACCGGAAATGTCCCAGTTTCTCCGGTCACCAACCCAAACATGGTACAAAACGCTTGTGGAAGCTCCAGCGCTCCTCTGCAAGGATTTGCTTGGCCTTCACCAGGATGAACCGATGCTGTACAACCTGCCTGCAGGACGACAGCGAGTGCTGGGAGCCAGGATAATTGCTATTGACTCCATCTGCAAGGGACCCGGGTGTGGTGAGACGGGCAGACAAACCAGCACTGCTGCCCATCCTAAGGGCTCTGCAGGCACACAAGCAAGCACAGGCATTTTTGGAGCAGTTCTTTGCTCCCGGTCCCATTGCCAGCACGTGCTCAGCACAAGCTCACAAAATGTCCATTTGGCTACAAAGAAAGTAGCTGGCGGTGGCAACCCCCCCGCCTGTTGTGAATGAGAGCCTTTGGCTCCTGTATTGTGCGACTCACCAGCAGGTTGCCCCAAAATGTCCTAGTTTCTAATTTTGAAGCAAGCAGAGGAGGGTCTGAAGAGACTTGTAAGGTCTCCT